GTATATTTTAATGTGGTGTGAGTGATGAAAAATTTAATGTGGTGTGGGTGATAAAAAGTTAAAATTTAGAGATAGACTAGCAGCATCTTAATGATCCCCCCAACACACACACACACACACACACACACGCACACACACACGCACACACACCAAGAGACAATATTCACTAGATTCATAGAACTGAAGATTTCCAAGTAGGATGCTGCTCTAAGAAATGTATGCTGATAATTAAACATGGTAGTCATTGAGATGTGAGTAGACAGTAAAGCAAATACGGATAATGTGCTGGATTTTTGGTGCTTTTTCTGGAGAAGAATAGTATTGTGTAAATAATAACACCATTTTGACATTTGTTGACGAGTCCTCAGTTCCCCTGAAAGAATGTAAAAATCAATTACTTTTTTAAAATTTCATTCAAATTTATATCCATTTTCATTAAAATATACATGCTTACTTTATTTTATTTATTTTTTAATTGAGTCACTATGAGATACAAAGTTACAAAGCTATTCATAATCAGGTTTCATTCATGATCCAACACCCATCTCTCCACCAGTGTCCATTTCCCACCATCAATGACCCCAGTTACCATAAAAGTCAATTACTTTGCCTTGCACGCAGCCAACATGGCCGACCAGAGTTTGATTCCTCCGCCCCTCTCGGAGAGCCCGGCAAGCTACCAAGAGTATCTTGCCCGCACGGCAGAGCCTGGCAAGCTACCCATGATGTATTCGATATGCCAAACACAGTAACAACAAAGTCTCCAATGGAGACGTTACTGGGCCCGCTCGAGCAAATCGAAGATCAACGGGAGGGCCTTTACTTTACCTTTACTTTACTTCTCCAGATGAGGCAAAATTTTCCAATGATGATTTTGTCCCATTTTTGGTACTCACATATTGCTCATATTGCTTCTAATTCTTATTATATATGGGAAGAATCTGTAGGATGACTAGGAGGAGGCTCATTGATGAAGAGTATTAATACGACACTGGCCTATAGGATCCTGAGAAGTCAGAAACCCAGGTAAAAGGGGCAAATTTATAGTAATCTCTTTAGAATGAACATAAGTTATTTTTAAATCTTGATAATGAACAACAAAGGTTGTGGTAGCACCAACCTTTGAAAGCAAATCCAAAGTTTCAATTTACTTGTTGTCCTCCATCAGAGGTTAGTAAACTCTGTGAAATTTTTAGACAGTTTCAGTTGTGTCCATTGGATGCTTGGACCCATGTTCTACATGAGTTAGTGGTTAAAGGAGTTCTATCCACTCATTCTTGACTGTAAAACAAAAACTGGCATTGAAGTTCGAGAATTAGATGTGAGGGTTAGAGGGAAGCATGGCTGTGCACCATGCATTCTCATGTACCCATGGAGTTTTTCCTGGAGTGTTCTCTCATCTGTGTGTAACTTCCCCAAGACGGGGTGTGGCAATGCAGCTGATTATTGCTTCCAGTGCTCTTGAGAACCCCAAACCTGAGTAGTATCCTCACTGGATATGGGTTTGGATTTCCTATCACTCCTATTATCTCCAGAACTAAGTTTTTAGATTGTTTGAATTTCCAAAATATACAGCATTTGAAAATAGTAAAACAGATAAAAATAATTATTTAAACATCTACATCTACATCTGGGAAGTGGCAGATTTTTAAATTTTTTTATTTTATAAAGTAGTTAATAAGATTTGATTAAATTTAATGTTCAAACACCAATCCCACCACCATTACACCCTCCCATCACCATATTTCCGATGTTTCCATTCCGATCCCAATCTCTGCCCCAAAGCAGAACCAAAACAATATAGTTTGTATTGTCTGTTATGAAAAACTGCTGAAAATGCTGCAAAAAAGTGTCCTTAGAGAAAAGAGTGGAAAATTATTGTATTTCACCCAGGGGCCATTAAGCCCTTCTATCTGAGATCACTAGCATGTTGTTGAAGGTTAAGCCTTGTGTGCTTTTATGTAAATTATATAATATATATAATATTATGCATATAATATATATAAGAATGTATTTCCCTCTAAGATTGGTTGCCTCCTATTTGGAATCCCATCAAATGTGGTGCGGAACTCTTGGAATATGAATAGGGTGAGTCCTTTGAAGTGTCATGCGGTCCAGGAATAGGTTCACTCGTGGGTGAGGCTCAGGACCAGCGTGTGGAGAGCAGCCATGACCTTGGTGGTGGTTGAGTTCTAGAGGTTTCCAGCTGCCAGGTCTGGGTCCCTTGGGGGGGGGGGTGTCACCCGGGGCCTCACCCACCCCCTCTAGGGTACCCTGAGTGAAACAGCCTGGCGCGGGGTCCATTGGCCTGGTTATGGCGAGCATCATAATATGCTCCCTTCTGGGAGAGAAGGACAAGCAATTTAGAAGTGGCAGCTTGAAAGTGACATAGGATAGAAGTGGACTTTGGTATGTTGGTGGGTGTAGTAACTTTGTACACTGTAAGAATAAACTTAACACTATTTGTAATCATGTTCCCTCAATAACAATAATATATGTTTGTATATATGTATATGTATATATACATATATATGTGAGTGTATATATGTATATGTATATATACATATATATGTGAGTTCAAAATGTGGGTGTGTGATGCAGTTAGTGGCTGAGAGCCGCCTCCCCAGGCCTTACCAGGAGAGGAACAAAGAGACAGAGGGACTAATAGATAGATGGTAAAAATGGCCTGTTTAATGCAGAGCTTATAGACCATCTGAGGGGGTTTGAGGCATAGGACTGCTCATAGGTGTGATTGATCATTTACAGAGTTAAAGCATTTCAACAGAGACAATTCTCTTGAGAGGATTAACTCAAGGAGATACTCTGTCTCCCAGGGACACCTATATTGCTTTTCTCCTTCCCTTTAATTGTACATGTTAAACAATTAAGTTTACTTCTTATTAATACTGCAGTTACTTGCAGTTATTTGTATAAACATAGTAAGAGATATAGGTTCCAAAACTTAGTTCTCTAGGCTATTAGGACAGGACTGCTGAGCTTCTACCATAAATCCCAGATTAAGTCATCAGGCCAGTTCAGCTTGTCTTTCTTCATGGAGGTCCTGTCTCTTAAGTTACAATGGTTTGCATCAGGACCATACTTCTATGCTTTCTAGGTCATCCCATTTTGATACTGGGTAGCTTTGCCACTCACCCTGGGTCCATTCAAGTCCCACGGTGAGGAGTCGCCTTTTTGGGGTGTTAGGAACTACAGTAACGGAAGCCTGATTCAAGTAATCATGACGGATGTCCAAGAGTAGATATATTTCAGAGTCAATCAACACCTAAATATTAGGAGCATAGCATTAAAGGTCTTTCTGTATTTAAGCAAAGAACATTGCTCTATAGTAAAATATGAAAAGGTTATAGGGGAAATAGAAAAACAAGCAATTCATTACAAATACAAAGTCCAGAGTTACTAGAATGTTTGACTTATAAGTAACCAACTTGGGGAATTGTGACAATGAGAGGTCAAACACAAAAGAAAGGTTAAAGATTAACTGGGGGTGTTAGGGGTACTCTTAAGCTTCTCTTGGGATGAGAAAAGGGGTAATTCACTGATGTAGCCTATCTTGTACATATATATATACGTATATGTATATATGTGTGTGTTTACATAAATTTCCATGAGGTATGTTGTACTCTCATGAACCACACAAATAATGAACCATATATTTAACCACACAAATATTCTCATGAACTATACAAATAAACATCCAAGGCATACTGGAAAATTTGTCAGTCCCATGGGAAAGAGGTGAAGGTGGACAGGGGCGGGGTCTTCAGAAACCCCCAGGTAGGAGGAGCGCCAGGGTTCATAGTTAAGCAGGTTGCTTGTGTACATTTTTCAGGTAACTCTTCCTCCAATCACAGCTGGGGTCTTGAGAATGCTGGGGGCATGGATCATCAGGTTCTTAGGAAATTTCATTCGGCTTGTCCTGGTCAGTGATCTCTTTGGTTGGCAGTGTGTTCTGCATTGCTGTTTCCTTCAGTTTGACTTTATCGAAGCTGGCAATTCCCCTCCTGTCCTATTTGTCTGCCATTTTCTTGAAGTAACCCGTGAAGTTTCACTTGAGCTTGCGCAGTCCTGGTGCTCCCACTCGCTCTGCAGCAGCAAGGGATAATACAACATTTGAATATTTGAAAAAAATCTATACATCCATTGATCTATTATAATTTGACTTTTATGGATTTGTGCATAAATTATACTTAATGTGAGATAGTGGTGCATTTTAATGTGGTGTGGGGTGAGAATATAAAAAGTTAAAGAGTACCGGAAGCATCTTAAAATATCATGTATAGAAAACAGTTTAGATATTTCTCAAAAAATTTAGAATATATCTTCTATATGACCCAGCATTCCATTTCTTGGCATATAACTTCCAAACACACAAAAAATGTTAATTGAAAAGATACAGGCAATCCTACACTCATTTCAAGACTTAATAAAATATTCAGGATATAAAAAATCCCTCAGATGTTCAATTTCAGTTAAATGGGTAAAGAAGTTGTGGTATGTGTATGTACAGAACGGAATAGCATGCAACTATAAGAAAAAATAAAATCTTGCAATTCTCTGTAACTGGAAGCAAAATAAGCCAGAAGGAAAGAACTGATGACAGATAATCTCACTCATATGTGATATGAAAATAAACATAAGAAGGGAATAAATGTAATGAATCTTGACAAACTCTTGGTTCTGGACCAAAATTTCAATTACCATAAAGGAAGGAAGTGAGAGGAATGAAGAGGAGTAGTAGAAGTAACATAAAGATATTGGTGAAGGAAACTAGGCATTTTTGGAGATGGTGAGGTACAGTATTGATAGATCAAGACCATAAACATTAAGAATACTGTAAATTTGTTACCTTAACTACATACAAAGAAAAATCTCTTCCCCCCAGTCTCTTTCCATTAGGTGCAGAGAAATCTCTCTTCCACCAGAGGGCGCACCAAGCAGGCACTTAAACATTCTTTGACAGAATCCCAGTCTCCCAGTAGGGTCCCAGACAGGTCTTCCAGATTCACCACTCATCCTTCCCTCTCTCTCTGCTTTGGTTTTCTGGCCCTTACTTTTGGGATAATGACTCCCCCTCTAACAGAGGTGAGGAGGCATCGACCTACTGAAGATACTCGGGAATCTAGGGGCAAGTGGTAGTCCTTAGGAAGGCCAGAAGACTCCTGAGAGACAGAGAAAAGGGCAGCCACGGTGAGACCCATTTTATTGACTTTTCATTTTCATTAAAGGGCAAAAGTTGGGGGGTTGAAATGGAGGAATAGAAAAGGGGGGCATTAAGGTCAAGGACAATCCCTCATTGATCTTCTTCCTCATCCTCTTTTTTTAAAAAAAATTATTTTTATAAAGTTGTTCACAATAACCTGAGCCTAATTTCTTCACATCAGATTCTTTATGTCAAAATGCTGACTGAGATGCTTGGAAGCTCAGAGTTGGGGGTAGCTGGAGTTGAGGGGTGGGCGAAGTCAAAATTAGGGAGATTTTATGCAAATATTAGTCTTGAATTTAATATCAAAAGAAAGAATTAGTAGATATGTTTTTTTCATATAAAAAGTAGTTACTTTTTCTAATTATAAAATAAAATCGTTCAATATATAAAATTTAGAAGATGTAAGAAAGCCCCCAACCCCACATTAAGGAAAAGATGGGAGGAGTATGTTTCATAACAGTGGTCATTTCATAACACAGAAATCTGTCATGAATAATTTCATGCATGGTTCATCTTTTGTATCACATGTATAGACTGATAGAGATAATATCACAAAATTTACTTTAAAATCTACTCCTTTCATTGTACATATTTTCATACCACTCCATGTTATAATGCACTATTGTTCATATTCATTCAATAAGTATACCATAGTTTATTTATTTATTATGTACTTTTAAATTATTTACAGAATTTCATTATTGTATGTATGCTGTAATAATAACTGTTGGATTTCAGATTTGAGAAAGATTAGTATTTTGGGGGGAGTGTAAATGAGCATAATCAGCAATTGTTTAAATTTAATTTTATTTTAATCTAATTGTTGTTCATGAGGAGCTAACCAGGTGACACACTAGGGCATGGGGTTAAACCTAGGGATGCTTGGGGCTGAGGAGGGAGGCATGTAGTGCCAAAGGACAGACCCCAGGACCTCATGCGTGCAAGGTATGTGCTCTACCACTTGAACTACACAACCAATCCTTAATCTAATTTATGCTTAATGTGGTGCCATATTTTATTGTTTCTAAGAGTGGAACTATGCAAAGAGTAAATGTATTTTTAGTTTTTGCTTGATATAGTCAAAATACCATTTTATATTAAAATTAGCCATATCCTGTTTACTTCTGTCTCACCAACTAGATATGCTATCGAATGTCTGGATGCCCTGACATAGGGGATCCCAGAGCAATATAAACAACAGGCAACAGAAACAGACCCAGAGACTCAAATATAGGATGAAACAAACAGGAAGGAAATGTGAGACATTAGGAGAAAGCCCTGCCAGTGAAGCGTGCTGTCCAATGACAGCATGGGCTTCTTAGAAAGCAATAGACTGGATATGCTTTGGGAGAACTCAGTGACCCTTCATCAGAAGCTTTTGTAGAAGGTGTTAGCAATTTAGCACTGGAGCTAGGATATTTGGTGCTTGGAGAAAAACATATAGTTATATTGATTGATATATCATTTAAAATCCATTATTCTGTGCCCATGGATCTCAATTAGGTCTTTATTATTACAAGGAGCTCATATACCTTCATTTATTTTTGGGGGGGGGCGTGGGGGAAGGGTTGAGAAGGGGCATGCTGGCTGTACTCAGAGCTTACTCCTCGTTCTGTGTGTTCAAGATCACTCCTGGCAAGCTTCACATGGAATACTGGGATTGAACCTTAATTAGCTGCATGCAAGCAAGAGCCCTACTCACTGTACTATCTCTCTTGCCCTGCAAATCATATACCTTTAGTGCTTTCACTCTCCCATTTACTTCTAGAGCATATATTCTTAAGATACAAATCCTCTTCTACCATTCTTATGCGAAGCTTCCGACCTTGCTTCCTACTTCACAGAAATTTCAGAAAGACAATGTTCAGAAAGGGGCCTATAGAAATTCCACTAAAACAATTATCTACTACTATTCTCTGTTCCCAGGTACTTCACCCTAGATGCCCTTTCCATGCTCCTAGCTAGTACTATCTCTTCCATTTGTTCGCTGGAATTCATATTAAATTTGTCATATCCTTTCAGCTATTCTCTACCATAATTTTCTCCCACTTCTGGTCTTTCATATTCACTCTGTTCCATCTCATTAGTTTCTTTATTGTTTCTCAGACACCAAGTACATGCTTCTTTTAGTATTTGCTTTCATTTTTTCCCTTTTCTTTGTAAGGGTTTCTCACAGATAACTATTTGTATAACTTAACTATTTTATCTCCATTTACATTAATTGGACAGAAAAAAAATAGTTTATAGATTCTTTATCCAAAAGATAAGATCTAGACATAAGTAAAGGCTTCAAACAAGGCCACAGAAAGGAGAAAAGCATAAGAATGAACAAATTATCATGCAATTAATTTTGATAGCATAAATCAAAATAAATGACTATGTGATTATATTAATTTGAATAAAACTGACTTGAAGGTAAACAACATCATAAAGGTCACCATTTAATAAGAGAAATTCATTTGCTAATAGAATGTAAAAATTATTCTAAATATTAAACCAGAGAAATAATACAGTGGTTAAGGTTCTTGTCTTGCACACAGACAACCTAGGTTTAAACCCCAGCACCACATATGGTCCCTCAAGCACCACTGGAGTAATCCCTGAGCACAGAAGCAAAAGTAAATATTGAGCACTTCTGAATGTGGCCCCAAGCTCCACTACCTCCCCTAAATAAGAATTATAAATATATATGCAACTAATAACACAGACTCAGAATATATAAAGCAGAAATCTATATGTATAATGGAACATTTTAACACACTCTCTTTAATAACTATCTCTTAGCTTGAAAATGAATTATTATGTTTATTTCTCTCAAGTGAGAGAATAGATATATCCCAAGTTTTGTGAATGATGCCAGGAACTAGTCTGGCTTTAATTTATTATTTACTGCACTAAATTGCCTCCAGCAATAGTGAGTTCAAGATGTTCTGAAGTCACATATTTTTTTTCTTTTGGGAATGCTCTTACTCCTAGAAGGTTTTCTGATTGTGTTCTGGACTGAAACCTGTCTTCCTCTTTACAATTTTATTAATGCAACTTGAACATGTTCTGGAGAATTTGTCTCCAGAAAAAAATCAGTCTATCTGAGACCACATCTTTTAAACTTAAGTTTGGTATAACTTGCAGGGAATTTAAAGCAAATTTATCTCCTACGAAACCTTAGGCTGGGCACAATTTCTATTAGAAGTGTCTTTTTTTCTGGGCAATTTTCCATCCATCATCAATAATATATCTGGGGGTTGGCATTACGACTTTTCAATTACTCAAATTGTCAGAGTTTTCATCTCCTATTGAAACTTTTCTGGAAGCTCCTGTGGTAGCTGTTGTGTATGCTTGATAGTATAACTAAAGCTATGCTATGCTGCCTTTGGCAGGCACTTAGCCAGTGTTATAAATCTCTTTCTGTCAAAATCATGATGGCAATTTAGAGGCTTTCTTGAGAGTTCGGTGCTTCTCTAGAGAGATTTAAAAGGGGAAACCTATGGGAACTTAGAGAGTTTGTAGGTCTTGGCTTTTTCTCTGGACCTGATTATTATCATTTTATACTATGTGCCCTCTGCCATAGCTCCTCCGTCCTTCTCTGTTCTAGGTCCTGAGGACCTGGTTCTCAGTTCGTATCACCTGGGTTCCTTAGCTGGGTTTTTGTAAGTGGGACCACTACCTGGAAAGTAAAGAAAACTGAAGACTGTGTGGTGCCATGGCTTTGACATTACAACTTCTGCCAGGCAACCTATTCTGTAACTTACCAGAACACTAGCAAAGCCATCTCCCTCTCACTCTTGTAGACTTCGAAGAGGTATCAGCTTCCTATAACTGTCAGTCCAAGGTGACATCACACCATTTGCTATTCTCTTAATGCCAATCCTAAACAGCTCTTTGTTAAACTGTTTTCTAAGTGTCACCTAAGTGGCTTTCTTTTTCCTGTGGGGAATCTAACCTGAAAAGAAAAGTATCTAAATATTCATTCTACCTGAAGAAGGGTTTATTTTCTTACTTTATGAGCTCAGAGTCACTGTCAGATACACTGGTGAGGAGGATTCTTAGATTTCAGATTCTACAAATGCTTTGAGGAATGACACTCACTTAGGCTTGCTGAAGTAAGAAAGCTGTCTTAGGACCATAATGCCCCAAAGGGTGTATATATATATATATATATGTATGTATGTATGTATACACACACATATATATGTATATATATATCTCACTGTCACTGTCACTGTCCTCCCGTTGTTCATCTATTTGCTCAAGTGGGCCCAGTAACATTGTGAGACTTTTTACTGTGTTTGGCATATCGAATACGTCATGGGTAGCTTGCCAGGCTTTGCCGTACGGACGAGATACTCTCGGTAGCTTGCCGGGCTCTCCGAGAGGGGTGGAGGAATCAAACTCGGGTTGGTCGTGTCGGCTGCATGCAAGGCAAATGCCCTACTCACTGTGCTATCACTCCAGCCCATATATATATTATATATATAATATTGTATATATAGAGAGAGAGATGAGGAAAGAGAGAGTGGGGTGATGGGAGGGAAACTGGGGACACTGGTGCTGGGAAATGTACAATGGAGAAGACAGTGGTGTTGAATGTTGGAATACTGTATGACTAAAACCTAATCATGAACAGCTTTCTGAGGGTCTATCTCACAGTGATCCAATTAAAAAAAGCATTTTTTTCATAATCTTATTTATTTATTTATTTTTCTTCTTATATTTATTTATTGAATCACTGTGGGAAAAGTTACTAAGCTTTCAGGTTTAAGTCTCGGTCATACAATCATTAAACACCTCTTCCTTCACCAGTACTCATTTTTCACCATCAAAAACCCCAATATACCCCCCTCCCACCCCTCCCAATGCCTGTGAGGCAGATGATTTCCACTTAACTCTTCTCTACATTTATTACATTCATTATTTCGACAAGAGATGCACCATTATTGTTTAGAATTCCCCCCCCCCCCCCCAACAATCAGAACTGCTGAAAAGG